CAACGTGCTCTGAGCACGTGCAATCCACATTCTATTTGCGTTGGGAATATTTGGATGAATTCATCCAAGCAACCATTTGCAAAAGAAGTGACATCAATAATTACGTGTGCGATACTTGGCAGAAGGAAAGGTCACCGATGGAGCGCCGCCAGGGATGCGGGGCAGCAGGAACCAGCAGCTTCAGAACTCAGTCCACACTTCTTCCTTTTTTCATTTTAATATTTCCCCAGGCCAAAATGATCAGTTAAAGGAGCTGAACGGCACAGCCCCAGCCTGCAGAACCAATAGGGCACATGAGCTTTGTGGTGCTGAAGGCAGCACGGGGACACAGAAGGGCTCTGGCTGGGCACTGGAGTGGTGTCACTGCACAGACATGACTGCACGGACATCATTTCAGAGCAGTGTCACCATATTTATGTGTAGGTGCATGCATTGATTACTCATTTGCTATAAAGCAGATGTCAGGCTCCACCTATCAACCCAACACATGGGTTTGGTAATTACCATTACTTGCTAGCAGCTGAGGCTATTTCAGAATGTACATATATCTAGCAAAGCAGTCAGAATAAGTGTTTGCTTATGGAAATAGGAATAAAAACCATGTGAAAACCACGTGCTTCTGCCACTGCTGCCAAAGGGAGCGGAGTGGCCACCAAGCCATGGCTTTGAGGGCACTGTGGGCATCGGCCAGCACAGCTTCTACAGGTTGTTTTGCTTTGCCTGCTTATTCATTTTGTTGGAAATCTGATGACTGTTGCCAAACGTATACATCATCAAAACAACACTAACATCTGGGTGGGTCAGTCTGGACCAGAGGGGGCTCAGGGAAGACCACATCACCCCCACAGCTCCTGACAGGAGGTTTTGGGGGGTGGAGGAGGGGGTCAGCCTCTGCCCTGGGTAGCATCAATAGGACAAGAGAGAATGGCCTCACACTGTGCTGGGAAGGGTCAGGTTGGGCATCAGCAACAATGTTTCCTCCAAAGAGCAGCGCTGCAGGCGTTCATTGCCAGGGAGCTGTGCTGCTTCCCAGGGCAGAGCAGGATGATGACTCAAACAGGAAGGTATTAAATGAGGAAATGGAACAGACGAGAGAACCCTCCAGTGATCGGTAAATAACACGTTTTAATTAGGGCCTCCATTTCACCTTAGGCCACTTACAAAAACCTTATGAATGACTTACATTTCCCTAATCTCCTGTAGGATTATAAGACAGCATCAGAGCAGAAAGAAGCGGCAGCCAAAGCCAGCCTGTAGCAGTGCCACCTCCTTCTCACTTTGGTGTTTTCTCCATTTTGCAGTTTCCCACCACACAGCACTCGTCCTGCAAAGCAAAGGGAAATGTTTCCCATATTTTGTAACCCTGCAGCCAGCCTGGTGGTTCTGGAGCAAACATTCTGGTTTTAACACAAAAGCTGCTCATGATTTGTAAGAAGATCTATGCAGGTTGGGATCAACATCCAGTTGACTACACTGTTTGCATTAAGTCAACATTTTATTCTTTTTGGAGGAAAACCACCACAGATTAATACAATATTATTTCTCACACAAACAAATACAGCCTCAAAAGCTCATCCTGCTGCGCACACAACTGCAGCCTCTTCAGATGTGAAAGGGCTTCATTAGGAATGCTCTTTTAAGCTAAACACATCCTTGTTTCTCATGCAGCGCTCATTCCGAGCAGGAGCACTGCTTTCTTGTGATGCCAGAAAACACATTTTCTCTTCAAAGTAGGAAAAGGAGGAAAACAAACAAACAAACAAAGGCATTTGGCTTCACCCAATGCAAGCCAAACTTGGCAGCACTGCAAGGTGACTTGGCAGCGATCTGCAGGGCCTTGCAGCAATGCTGATGGCACTCAGCCTGGGGCTGCCCTGTAGGTAGAGGCTGTGACCTGCAAGTAGAGGGGACAGGACATAGGGGGTCACTTGGGGACTAATTCATGCCTGCAGTTCCTGTAGTCCATCTACTGGCACAAATATTATGCAGGTTAATATATAGGTAACATGGAAGGGCTGTGGAAGGTCTGGACATTCCACAGCAAGCAGGCTGCAAGGAAGCAGGCTGCTCTCCTGGAGGGAGCTGAGGGACCACAGCGATGCTTTCTGTGCTATTTCCCAGTAATTTAAGCAGTTGTGACCCGAAGGGAGAAGACTGATTCTGCTGAAGCCAGCAGGAACTTCAACAAAACATTTTTATTTGTGTGTTAATTTTAAATGGTCTGTTATTAGGAGATTTATTAGATTTTCTTTTTTTTTTTAATTAAACGTGGTGCTCTAGATGTCATGTGCATTTGGCCAAGTCGGTGACTGCAGTGCCCCGAGTGCTGGAGGTGGGTTCCTGCATTATCAGACATCCCCCTCCTTCATCTCCACATCCACACACACAGAATCACAGAACCATTAATGCTGGAAAAACCCTCTGAGACCCTCAGCCCCACCACCCCACAGTCCCACAGCCCACGTCCCTCAGTGCCACATCCCTGCAGCTCTGAACGCCTCCATGGATGGGGACTGCCCACCCCTGGGCAGCTGTGCCAGCGCCTGGCTGCTCTCTGGAGCAGACATTGCTGTGATACCAACCTTACCCTCCCTGGTGCAATGTGAGGCCATGACATCTCATCCTACACCCCACCCTGTGCCCCAAAGTGCAGCATAGCATCCCCATGGGCAGGGACAGCCCGCTGCAGAGTTCTGCCTGAGCACCTCGCTGTATATCCCCAGCCATCAGCAGTACCACTTATTCTGCAAACACTTTTTTCATTTCTGGCATTAACACACATCTATATTGAATCTCAGCAGGTATAAAAGGGCCTTCAGTGGGCACATGGCAACACTGCACATTTTGGATGCTGTAACTCCCAGAGCCAAGTTCTACCCGCTACCAACGTGGAGAACAGTGCAGCTGATGGCAGTAAAGCATTCGGCCAGGATCACCCTGAGGATCCTGGTTTCCACCCCCAGTTAATTTTCCACAAAAGTCTTCAGAGTTAAATGCTCCAAATTTTTTTCAGACCTGTCTATGAAGAAACAGGGAAAAGAAAAACTCAGCCCTGTTTGTGAAAAAGAACTGCTTTTCTGCCATATTTCTAGCAGCTGCTCTGCTTTTCTTTCCTCCCCAAAGCAAAGGCATTATTAAATACAACCACCTGAAGTAAATGGAAGGGAATCATGACAAACTGTCAGAGTACACAACCACTCAGACAAATAATGCCAGAACTGCATTCATTATGAAAAGCACATGGAGAGGCAACAACTCCGGGTGCCACGGCCACTACTGGAGAAATACAATATAGAGGTATTTCATTGGTGGCTGGAGAGATAAATCAAGTTAAATTGCTCACAGAGGCAAACCCAGAGCATCTTGCTATGAACCCAGACAAGTAAACCTACTGTCTCTAGGGAATGATGCCATCATTTGTTTTCATTTCTTTGACTTCTCCTCGCTTATGTTAGAGATTAACTCTCTGAACAGTGATCACAGCAATACAGAAATGTGGTCCCAGAGGGATGGGAGGAAAGTAATATTCACCAAAGTAAGCCAAGTGAAGGTATCACAATAGGAAGAACTAAGTTTTTTAAAAATAAATGAGCTACAGACTACTTAGGAAGGGAAAACAAAATGATTTCTACCATCACAGAGCCACTCAGCCTGCACCCAGGCATGCTCATCCTTGCTGGGAAGCCAAAAAGCAGAAAAAAAAATAAAAATAAATAGACAAGAAACAAAAGTAAAACCCACCCAAACCTCTCTGCACTCCTGGTTGATCCAAAAACCATTCAATGCTTCACAACTTTCTTTTCTTTGAAGTCCGAAGAATGAGATCACATATCCAGGAAAAGAATATCTATATCTCTATATAAAGAGACTTACCTGAGAAAAAGGAGCCTGAACCACCACGGAGAACACCAAGGGTGATGCAGAGCAAGGGGAGATGCCTGGAAGGCAGCAGAGCCACTGCCAGGTGTAGCACTGCCTGCAGGCTGTCCTGCACCAACAGCAGGCATCACTCACCAAATATGTGGAGTATTTCAATATATAAAGTTTTAAGCTGAGAAGAGAAACCATAGCTTTCCACACTCACATGGGCTCTAATATCACAGACTTAAAGCAGGGCTCTCACTGGAAGCCTTTCCTGCTGCAAAACATGGACAAGGGACATGCAGTGTCCAGGCTCTGAGCCCTCAGGGCTGCAGCACAGACCCAGAACCACTCAGTGGTTATGGCTGAGGCTGCTGCAGAACGAGGAGGAATGGGTTGATGGGCTGGAGGAACAACTTCCTGCTCTTTTTTTTTTTGCTTTTCTTTTTTTCCCCACCCAAAGAGCTCAAGTTTATTTTCTGGGACTCTTTCAACAGAGCAGACCAGGATCTGCTTCCTGAAATACAGAGGTTCTGAACATATGCAATACCATAGGAATCTTTTCATTTTGATAAGGGCTCTTCTGGTCCAAGAAACCCAGCCTTTAAGCAGTTCTATCAGCACTAGCATCTTCCTCCTGCAAGCAGCTGAGCCTGTTTCTGCTGACATGTTTTCAAACCCATTTTTAGCCCAGCCCCTTGTTGCTGCCACAGGTTTGCTCTCTGACACCAATCAGGGCCCTTCTGCCTCCCCACCCACAGCAACCTGGGCCCTGAGCAACAGCTGCAGGCAGTTGTCCCCTGCTGCCACAGCTGCTCTCCTTTTGCAGTTACCAATGATGAGGCTTGCCACAGAGATCAATACCACACTCCCAGCAAGCCAGTCTGCCATTTGAAACCTCAAGCAGTTTTGTTGCTTGTTGCTGGTATCCTCAGTGTTACACGCCATGTGCTCTCAATCTGCTCATGAGTGCAGCTGGCTTCAGTGGAAATGTGCATGTGAAGCAGGAGCCCCAGGAGCAATCAGTGTTGTACCTCTCGAGTCAGAACTGTGAGACCAGCGCTGCTTCATCGGGCATTTCCAAAAATGTGGAAACTTAAAAAAAACAAAAAAAAACCCAAAATCGGCTTAAAATATTTATTAATTAAAAAAGTAAAATATTTAATTTATACAAAGATGATGAGAAAAATCTCATGCAGACTTTCCACATACAGGAACGTAACTCAGACCGCGATGGTTGTACAAAAGAACGCCTTTACGGAACTCCGACAGAGCAGTGCTGCTATCAGCCCGAAGCACCACCCATGGGATCAGGAAAGCTATTTCTGGAAAGGAGAGTTTCCTATGGAACACTGGCCAGGGTTTTCACACTCTTCACTAAGATTAACGATTAATATTTAATAGTACTACTCAGAGAACTGGACACAGACATGTGAACGCGGCAATGGATCCCTGCATCCCGCTGCACCTCCGAACAGTTTGTGCTAATGCAGAAAGTTGCCAAAAGATTGCGAAATGATCAAAATATCTTGAGATTGTTATGGATGGCATCTGTTTCTGCTTAATTACAAATCTGCACCGGATTCATAATTTGTGTGTATTACAAGTAATTTGCATAATTAAAACAATTAAGGGATTGACATATCACGGCAATTAGAAATGCATCAAACTCTGGATGTTGTACAAAAGAGAGCTTCAATATGAAACATTAATTCCTTGGGAACAAATATCCTTCAGATTCCTGCAGAACAACCTTCACAAATGCTCCGTGTGTTCAACAAACACCATTCAGAGAAAGTTTTTCTCAGGGATATGCACTCCGTCCTTCCGCTGCTGCGAGGTCAGCCTTTGCTTTCACCTTCACTCGGGGTCCTTCCTGCAGTCCCTGCTTTAGCTTCTGCGCTCATTGCCAGCTCCAAGCAGTTTTATCTCATTTTCCGTAGCCTTACCCTGTTTTCTTTGTCTCTCTTTTTAAGGATAAGTATGAACTGATTGAAAAAATGCTCTTGGTCCTTCTTCTTCTGAACCAGGCGGAACCTCTGATCCCTGCCATACTTCTCTGCAAACTCTTTGAATGTCGTTCTGCAGAAAAGACAGAGATTTGAAAGCTGCAGCCTTGCAGATGTGGCTTGTAGGAAAGGCATGGCCACGCGGCAGCTGGAAGCAGCAGGATGCCATGGCCAAACCCAGGTGCTGAGCACAGACCCTGCACCAAGAGCACAAGTGCTGCTGGCAGCCCAGCCTACAACCCACCAGCCCCCTGCTTACGCTTCAACCCCTGGGCTTTAAAATCTCACAGGTGCATCGTTCTAGCAATGGTTTCTATCTCAATTTTGTGTTCACAGCGCTATGGTTAATGACGGATGTATCGTGTGAATGCTGCAGTATTTCTTGTTGGCTTTAAGCACTGTGCAGACTCATAACAGCCTTGTGGGAACAGACCTGCGTGCTTGTCTTTACCGCACATCAAAATCAAGCTAGGGGTTATGACCAAGGTGAGTTTCCATGGAGAGCTTGGTGCAGGTCCAGAGGAGGACCAGTAAGATGATCAGAGGGCTGGAGCACCTCTCCTGTGAAGAATGGTTGAGAGAACTGGGGTTGTTCAGCTTGGAGAAGAGAAGGCTCCAGGGAGACCTCATTGTGGCATTCCAATATTTGAAAGGAGCGTATAATCAGGAGGGAGAACACCTGTGCCACATAATCCTACCATATATATGCACATAAAATACACGTGTTATGCAAAATATTACACATTCAAAGTGAAAGAGAGAAAAAAGAAAAGGAACAGAGAGAAAAAGTATGTTCTCATTCCCAGTAATATTCGCAGTGAAATAGACTAAGTGCTACAAAATGTTAGTAAAGATATGTCAGCACAGCATTGTAACAATAGATGTAAAACCTTGCCATGAAGAGTGCATTCTGTTCTACAGCGTTCCAGGACTGATAAGCACAGACTAAATTAGAAATTTTATCTTAACAAATCTTCATACAGCAATGCCATACCTTGGTGACAGCTTGGATTCTTCGAGGAGCTTTTTAAATTCTTCTTTGGCTAACAGCAATTTGTTCTTCTTTTCTTTGTACTCTTCTCTTATCCTGGTCTTGACAAACTGTTCAAATATCTTTCAAAATAAGGAAAAGTGATGTAGTATTTACTAATAAAGGCTTTGTGGCATTCATGCTTCACTGACGGGCTGTCGATCCCAAGAACCACAGCTCCTATCTGCCCCCAGTATCTACTGACTGAAATGCAGCTGAATCTGTTTCAAGGAACGCTGAGCACATGCGGTCAGGAAACACACAACTGGAGAAAGGCAATCATTGCACAGATAATACTTCACTTAATCATTCAGTAAAACACAAATCAAGGCTTCCTTACTTCAGTGTCATGCTCACATTTTTCTTCCTATAGCATTATTTTTTGTTTCCACCTTGTATCTGTACTTTGCACATACTTAGTTTAAACCTCACATCTTTCCCAGCTTGCTCTCATTCCTGAAAATGTCTGTCTGCTAACCATTGATATTTTGCAGGTTACCCCAAAAAAAGCCCAAAGACCTTTCAGTTCAGCTGCCAAAAGCCATGAGTTTACCCATGGCTCTCTGCACACATGGACCCAAAAGTTTGAACGCTATTGAAGGATCTAACAACCTTCCTCCAACAGCATCTGGCAGCTAAACACGCATCGCAGTGCTCAGCAGTGGATTATGGGCATCTTGGAAAGGCTCTATGTCTAAAATCTCAGCCACCTCCTTTAATCACATCTTTAAGTACCAAAACTCCAATCCTGCTGGCCTTGTGCTCTACAGAATGTTGTACACTGAGCTGCTCTGCAGAATGCTACTGGCTTTCCGTAGTCACCATCCATCTCTTTCCACCACAGATTATACACATCATAGATGATTACTGTGGTTACAACCAGGTTGCTTTCTCATCAGCCAGGGGGGATGCACAGGTGCAAATCTACATTTCAGGCCAGCGTAAGCATCTGAACTGCAAAACACATTTGGTATGGTATGTTGCAAGGGGAAGAAACGGCACTGGAAAATAAACATCAACAATGGCCATGCAAGAAGTGACAACACAGGAAATCTAAATATATAATATTGTATCCAACTGCATTATCTGAATATGAGAGAAGGCAGGAAAAGGAAATAAAGAAAACATGAGAACTCTTACTGCTTGCCTTTCCATTATCAGCAAAGATATTACAATGGTAATAAATCAAAGCTAAGTGCTAGCTCATTACCTAATAGAGTTGCCTCTTTACCCTTCACTGTCCCTATACTTAAACACAGCAGCATCCTTCAATGCTTGTAACCCTTCAGAGAGTATCAGTCAGCAAGTGGATCAATCTATTGTAAATCACAGAATCATAGAATTGCTCAGGTTGGAAAAGACCTTAAAGCCCATCAAGTCCAACCACAACCTAACCATCCTACCCTAACTCTAACAACCTTCCTCTAAATCATGGCCCTGAGCACCACATCCTAATGGTTTTTAAACACATCCAGGGATGGTGACTCAGCCACCTCCCTGGGGAGCCTATTCCAGTGCTTAACAAATACTCAATAGCAGATCATTATGCTCCTCAGGCTGTGCAAGGGCACGGCAGCCCATGGCAGGAGGAAACCCCCCCCAAGCCCTGCTCTGCCCCTGCATCTTGCTGCCCCTGCCCTGCTGATGGCAGACAGCAGAGGGCTGGGCTGGGCCAGCTGTGCTCTGGCACACACTCACTACTCACTCCTCACCCTTTTCTGAGCCAGCTTTCATCCCTAAGCACCTCCGGTATTAACTCATTGCTGTAACTTACAAAGCACTCAAGACGCTCGCTATGTGGGCCACAGGCAGCATCTGCACTATAAACGTTTCCATGTATCTAAATGATGTCTTCTACTGATTTAGGCTGTACTTCAGTAAGTATTTCATTAAATCAGGCATCTTGCTTTGCCCAAGCCTACCTTTCTTCTTCAACCACTTCCCAGAGGAAAAAGAGGTCTAATTAAAGGGAAGCACTCACGGGGAACGTCTAGAACTCTTAACTTCAAGTTTAGTAGCGAAAATAGATTAAATACATGGCACATCCTCCTGAGCTGAATTCTCCTGGGCCATGGCCAGTCGAAGCACACTCAATGCTTATCCTCTTCCTCCACAGCTGGCAGCCCAGCTTGCTCACAGCCAGCACCAGCCCTCGGCCCCTCTGCCAGCACTGACTGCACCTTGCAGACGAGTCCATGGTGCTTCAAGCAAAGCTCCATATCACATAATGTGTGTTCATCATGTATTTTTATTACATCATCTCTGTGGCTGATAAAGTAGAAGAAGAATGTATCTCGATCGACTAATCGAGGTCTAGGTTTTGTCCTTGCTGATTCCCTGAAATAAGATGAAGGCTCTTTGCTTAGCCTCTTCTTTAGCAGTATTTTCCACTCTAGCGGTTTTGCTCACATTTTCATTCCCGTATTTCATTATTATTTTATTTCACTTTTTTTTTTTTTCAGGAAAGAAAATATTGGAAAGGCAGTAAATGAAGATGTATGTGCCCAGGCCCTCAGCAAATAACTGCAGCAGGCTCTCTGGAGAAACCACAAGACAATAGGAGGCCCAGTGCAATGGAAAAGACATAAGAAGAACATTATTCATCATGTTATTTCAAAAACAGATCATTCCACATTTAAAATTCTTTCTTTTCCAGGATGACAAAATGGTGAGGAAAATGAATGACCATAGCGTAAAAGAGTTCCCCTTCCCTGCCACATCCCTGCATCTCTCCTAATTTTTTTAGTCTAATCTACAGCCCTGGAGTCCTTTTAGTTCCTTTCTGATAGCTAATGCCCAAGTAAACAGGGCAGAATAATCTCTGCTTCTCCTGTCGCTTGCCCATTCAAATAGGTACAAGCACAGCCAATGTGCCCCATCTACTTAGTTACTGCAAAATATAGCTAGAAATAGTGCCAAATTCATAGAAAATTTTCCTAAGTAATAAAAAGAAAGCGCCCTCCCCACAATATGCAGCAGGAATCAGAGAGGAAACATTAGCTTGTGGCCATCAGCCTTCCTAGAGCCGAGCCCCAGACACCAGTGGAACTCGTTCCTACAACCTAAAAGGCTGCAGCTCTTCTCTATGGGCTGACTGACTTGTTGCCATTTGCTTTCCAAAGGGTGGCAACACTTCTCTGGGAGCACAGCCTGTGTCAAAAGCCACAACTCCAAAAAGAAGTGTCAACTGTATGCAGCTCCTTTTATCCTACCAAGACAATTACTTGTTTCTTACGGTTAATTTGGGAAATGTTTGCCACCAGCCAGAAGCTACACCAGGATAATGCTCACCTGCTTACGTTCCTCTGAATTTAGTAGAAGGTATCGTGGGTCAAACACGATTTTGTGTAACTCTTTTTCCCATGTTGAAAACGCTGAAACCTGTGAAGTATACAAACACAGTTGCAATAAAGAATTTTAGTAAGGATTGAAAACAAGGAAATGTTCCAAGGTGAGACGAAAGCGTAGTTCAGAAAGTTAATGAACCCTCTCAAGATGCCTCAGAGCAGTTAGAAGTTGCATTTCAATCTGTTTCTGGCAATGATCTGGTTGCACCCATGCCATTAGTATTGATTTGCCCTAGGACATCTCAGTGAGTATCTGGAAGACACTAATTCTACTTTTTTTGATGGAAAGAATCTGCAGCAGAAAGGGAAATGCCCATTTCATTACCCGCTTTTTAAGACACAAGTATCAATTTCCATTTAATTAGGTACATCAGCTTTAGCTCCCCTCTCTTGCAAAATTTAACTACTCACCCAAATGAAGCTGTCAATGCACACACGTACTGAAGAGCTAACAGTGATATACATCAAAATATCACATTATCTCATCAAATTTACCACTTTCATCCAAGGGGGTAGGTGTCACCATCTGCATTCTGAGGCTTCCACCTCTTTCTACTGAATTCAGCCCTCAGCAGTGGTACCCTGGATGTGCACCCAAGATCACTGCATCATTTATAGACCCTCTGCAATGCAAAATGACAATGCCACACTCACAGAGGTTCTTCCATGTTCTGAGGAAGCCCCTCAAGGTGGTGAGCTGTAAGGACCACCCCAAACTGAGCAGGGCCATGGCACTCATCAGCCCTGGGAGTTTTATGGAATGATGTTCCATAAAAAGTGTGAGGCAGAGATCCCCAGCCTGATCCTGGTATCTCAGACAAAATCACTGTTAATTAGTTTGCTACAGAAAAGTCCTTCATAAGATAAAATATTCCAATCACTCCATCTAATTGCAAAGAAGAGTAAATTTACGAAGCAAAAAAAATTAAGTATGTGGAGTATAATTAAAGTAGTCTAATTAACAATCAGACACAAAGGCTTTCGTGATGCCAAGTAGGTTGAAGTGGAGTGGGAGTGGAGCTGGGGTGGGAGATGGGCTGGGGCTGGGGTTGGGGCTGGCTGCTGAGGCAAGGGGCACAGCACTGCTTGGAGAAGGTCCACTGGAAGCTGCCATGGGAACAAGTGCCTGGGGCCAGAGAGGGGAAGCTACAGACCTTAGCCAGGAAGATTTGTGCAGGTGGTGCATCACTGCACTGGTATCTGCAGGGCAAAATAAGGAGAGTAGGAATGTGCACCCCACATTCCATTTTAATTAGGGTGAGGGCATTACACAGCTACCACGTGCTGAAAAGCCACCAGTGGCACAGATGTTCTTCCTTAAGTCGTGAGGTTGAGTTAGGCTGAAACCAGACCCTCCCCGCACACTGCAGGTCTGGCAAAGCCTGCTCCAAATGTCATCTTCTTGTGACGCAGCCCCCATGCCCACGGCTGCAGCTTGAGGCAAGCATTTTCTGCTGCTTTAGAGAGGTCAGAGGGAGCAATTCCTTTCAGGAATGTTGCTCCTGGACATCCCTTCTGCTCCCAGTACAAAGGTCAAATCAGCCTAGTTAAACTCAGTTTAACTAGTTTAAAATCAGCGCTAGTTAAACTCAGGCAAATGTGTAATTTAATCGTTCCTTTTATGGCTGTTCCTTCAGTAACCGTTGGCTTTCACAAACTGCAGGCACACCCCTGAAAGAACTGCTGGTTGCAGACGTTTGCAATTTACCTGTAGGTACACACACTGTTCATTTTGGAGCTCTGCAGACATATGTTCACATTCTGACCCACCTCCCCACAAGTGCTGCATTGTCCTTCTCCCTCATCCAGGAACACATCATGGCGTGGTGGGGTTGCAGTTCTTCCCAGAATACAGAAGGACCTCTGCAGCCCGATACCAGCCCAGAAAGAGAGCAATGGAGAACTGAGCTTCCCTCTGTTTCCCAGTTCAGATCTCCTGCTTTTTAATCTGAGTTCAGAGTGCAGTGAAAAATCTCATGAAAAAGCCATGTACTGAGTTGGAGAAGTATATTTAGAAGTGAAAGGATACCTATCTGAATAGCTGGTTTTATTTTTTCCTTCTCTTTGGAAGCCCAGCTACGGTAGCACATTGAGAGTTTGGCTTTGATGAAAAGATTGATAAGAAGAGAAAAGTGAAGTGCTTGCTATTTCCAGCAGGTGCATTTATCTTCATCAACAAAGGCTTCCCAGCCTGAGGCAGACACTGACCCAAGCAGAGTGATGCCCACAGCAGACACACACCAAGTGGCACAGCCCTGCCTGCCAGCCCCCACCCCAACTCACATTGGAAGGGGTTAATGGTCCTTCCAGTTGCGGTCTGGGTTCTGTCTGAAAAATGGGAAGAAAAATAGGCTGCACAGAAACAACAATAAAAACAATCCAGTCTGTTTTCCTGTTGTTCTGTGCCGTGTGCTGAGATTGAGAATTACTTTGATGCAGGATGGCAGAGGTTAAAGGCCCTCACTTTTACGCTTACTCATATTAAGGAAGCAAAATCTGGCTGGCAACAGCGTTTTGAATTCATATCCTTTTACAGTTTTATTGCACGGACATCCTAGAAAACAGAAGTGTTTCCCAGAAAGGGGAAGATCATAGAATGGCCTGAGTTGAAAAGGATGACCAGGCTGCCCAGAGCTACATCCAACCCAGCAAGGTTATTTAACTTGGACACATGAACCCCATGGCTGTCTGCAGAGGCTGCAGTTTGTCCTCAGGACTTTGTGGAAACTGCAGAACTTCCACAAAGACTGCATCAGAGATTGCATTTTTACATGGGAAAACTTGCTATAGACTTGGGAATAGCGCTGCCACCTCGCATCAGCGCTGTGCCAAAATCACATCTTATTTTTAATTTTACAAGCAATATTCTTTTACTGAAACATTTTAAGTGTGAGGATTCATAACAACGCTGAAAAACTCCATCTAGTTCAAGCTCTTTGTAATGCTGCCAAGAGCCTTCTCGAGAAAAACCAACATGACAAGGAAATGGCAGCAGGCAGCCATTCCAGCAACCAGGCTCAAAGAAGAGTGGCCTCAGTCACTGCAGGAGATGCCAGCTGATCCCACCCAGCGCCTTGTCAGACCACCTCGAAATTCTCTGGGTAAAAGCAAAGAATCCTATTACGTACATATTTGTAAATAATAGCAAAAATAAACAGCAAATTCACTGCAGTTCTTATTTTGATGAGCGAGGCAGAGTCTTAAACTGGAAACGCTTGAATCCTGTTACCGAATAATCCCAGTACCTCTAAATTTTGACTTATGGTCTCCTGACTTAAAGTATGTCAGTGGGAGCCTTCAAGCTGCATTCCTTTATGGCATTTCTGTGGTTTTTAAGCATAAATAACAAAATGCATGAATAAAAGTGTGAATGGTGTGGAGGTAATTTACTGCTGAACTTCTGAACCTGTGAAGTCTGCTGACTAACAGTGATAACTTCTACAGCTTTACTGGCTAACAGCACACACTTGTGATTCTTTTTTCTTCGCAGAAGTTACATAAGCTTCTATGCAATGTGTATTTGAAGAGTGTTGGAGGAAGTTATAGAATCTGCATGCACAACTGCGCTACACACACATTTCCATTTGCAGGCATAGGGCTGAAGCATACTACCTTTATTAATTCCATTCCTGCTGCCTTGAAAATGAAGGGGCACTGGGAGACAAAAATTTTGCACTGGCGATTTTATATTTAAAAGCAGCTGTATTGTTGATGGTAACCTTTAGAGGGGCAGTTGGACGCAGGTTTATGAGTGCTATGGCAGAAAATAAAAGTCAGGGTGAAGCTCTTTACAAAACCAGTAACAGGATGCTGTTACTGTGATCTGTGACTCGTATTTCTCTTTTGGTCATGAGGCTTACAGTGCTGATGGACTCTATCTGTAAATTGAGTTTATGCTCCATCTAGCTGCTCATAACCTTGCTCAGACCCTGGGAAAATAGTAAGAGAAATGGCCAAGGGAAATGGTCCTGGGACCACACAGTCTTCCCAGCAGGTCCAAGGACAGCCATGGAAGGCCAGAGACACAAACAGGTTTTCTCTTCCGAGCCTCCAAAATGCCCATTAATGTCCTAGCAGGCTGGACATGACCCTTGTGCTGCCTGCCAGGTGACACTCAACCCATCTTCCATCCTTTGTCCATCACACAACACAGCCCTGGAGTTGTGCAGGGCTGCCGGGGCTCCCAGCACATTGCTCAGCACAGTGCTGAGCCACGGGTCCCAGCGGAAGGAGCAGTCACCTTTGGGTGCACACATAAGGACTTACTTGCAGCTGCACCAGCTAAGGGCTTTCAGTTATGAATGGCCACACTTCACTGGATGGCACTGGGGAAAAGCCAAAGTAAAGAAACACAGAAGCTACCCAGTGAATAGAAAGCACCCTCTCAATAATTCCTCCTTGGAATGCCAAGCCATAATCTCACCATGATTCCTGCACTGGCCAGACGTAATGCTCTCCCCTCACCAAGGAGGTATGCTGACCCAAGGATGTATTCCTTACCCCTCTCTCCAGAAGCATATCTCGGAAATGAGTGATGCGCTCCTCGAGGGGCGGTGTGACCTCCGCTGCTGCTGGTTTCCCATTCCTCTCCTCTGTGCCTGCCTTCCCCTCGTCAACGACCTGGCAATCTTCTGTTCTTTAACAAGGCAAGACAGAGAACAGTTCAGCAGTTGTAGCCTTGGGAGGGCATTTTTAACCCTTTTCACAGCCTGGCAATCCATCCCATGTACAAACGTGCTAGAGCACCAGTGGCCCTGCTGCTGCAGTGTGAGGGTGATGCTCTCCTCAGCTGTAATCCTACATCATTGGTGCAGTCACTGGAACCAAAGTTTTTTTCCACCAGATCACTGCTTACATAATTTTATCAGAGCTAGAGACCATTAACACTGCATTCTCACCCTACTCTGGCAAATGTCGTTTTTGGAGGTCCCTCCATGCGTCCTGGCATGCTTTGAGCATCCTCAGTGATGAGCTCATAGAATCACAGAGTCATGGAGTGCATACTTGGGTTGGCAGGGACACCAAAACCCCCGAAGTCCCACCCCTACCACCAGCTGGGTGCTCTCCAGCTCAGGCTCCCAGGATCCAGCCGTGGCCTGGGGCATCTCCAGGGCTGGGACAGCACAGCTCCAGGCAGTGCCAGCAACTTCAGTTCCTCTAGGGAAAGAAATCCTCCCTGCCATCTAAGCTAAATCTTCCCTCTTCTAGTTTCAAGCCAGAACTCAGACTCCTGCTCTGGGTCCTTCCTACTTCTTCTCAATGTCTTCAGCAGAGTGGACGCAATAAAACATGGAGGTGCTTTCTGGGGAGACCAAGAATCTGGGAACGATCACAATGTACATGCATGGCTGCTGGTAGTGAGCTGCTTTGATTTTTAGCATCCTATTAGGCATGACTGCATTTGCTAATGATGCAATTTAGTATACAGTTTTGTTCAATACTTAGGTTTGGAATTTCTATGTGAAAACTCTTCCTTATTTCCAAGCAAATGGATTACATCGGTATGTAACACGAGTTCTAGTACACTATCTTCCCTCTACAAATAATCACATTACACTTACATTTACCCTAAAATGATGTTATATTACTAGCGATTTCAAAGATATCAGATTGTTTTCCTTTGCAGAATGACAGTGAATTTCGTATTGCAACAGCAAATGTTTTCCTGTAACATGATCCATGAAAGGCCCCATCCAATTTCTACGATGAGCAGAGAGCTTCTTCCAGCTGAAACTGCAGAAATGCTGCACACTGCTCAATCAGCTTATATCACAAGAGCCTTTCTCTCCTTCAGTCTTTCTCAGGAAATTGAAAATGATGCTGAACATTACCCTGACTTGCTTTTGTCTCACGCCAGAGATTACAATAAACAATATAATTTGCTTCAGCAGATAACTGCAGAATCATAGAGCGGTTCAGGTTGGAAAGGTCCTCTAAAGGCTACCTGGTGCAGTGAGCAGGGACACCCACAGCTCATCAGGTGCTCAGAGCCGGCACCAGGCTTGTGCAAAATCCATGAGAGCAGAAGGGTCTCGCTCCAATCCGCAGCCAGCTTTGGGCTGGATCCCCCACTGGCTGTGGAAGCAGTTCTGTTCTTACTGATGTACGTGTAATACATCAACGTGAAGACAGACATCAGTGCGAACACCAGAAATGACAACTGACAGAAGTAATAGAGTCAGAAGGCTCTACCACACAGCTGTGTGATGACCCCTCTGGCTGAATTACGATGCACTGCGCTGGAACTTTGATGCAATCGCTTCTTATCATCAGCACGGGGCTCTCTCTAGAGCAGATGATTTATTGTGTGTCAGAGCATCCTATCATATACCAAGGCAACAACTTCCAGAGAGGGAGCATAATTAAAACAGCATAGGAATTGCTGCATGTTCTAAAACAAAACATGAAAGCACATAACCTCATCTTAGTCATATTTAATCAAAAAAATCAAACCACTAATATTGCAAAGAGAAGTGAATAACGTGCCTGTACATAAACATTTTTCAGGCTGTTCAGCATCAACATGGAAATGCACATGGAAGCAGGGAGGCAGCATGGGAGCACAGAACTACAGCTGCAGTGGGAATACTTCAGGCATGGGTTACTGGTGCTATCCCACCCTCTGCTGTGGGATGTCTCAGTCCCACTATTGAAAAAGATAACAGGATAACTACATTCTAGTCTGAAATGAAAATCCTCAAGTATTTTACATGTCAAGGACTATTAGCTGCAGCTTAATATTCATACATTTAAACGAGCATTGAGGCCGTGCTTCTTTAGCAAAAGATCAGTATCTAAAGCTCCATCCACAAACCTCTGCATTCTGCCATTGTTTCAGGGCACAAAGCAAGATGTCAGGAAATCTTTACATGTTATAAAAGAGAATTTAAAATTCAAAGCAGCTGCAGAAATCATGGGGCGGTTGGGGGATATACGCTCTGCTGACAGAAAAATAAACACTCCAGGGCTCTTTGGTGACAGGTCAAACTTCTGAGGAATTGGGATCATCACGACGAAGTCTTAGAGTCTGCTGTGCTGTCAAGCCAAATCCTGCTTGTTTGTTTTATGACTAATGCCCTTGACTTTCATGGGACTAATTGCCCAAGTACAACAAATGTGAACTTGTTCCTGCTAGTCTAGGAATTTATTCTAGAAGTTAAATGAAGACAGGAATAATGACAGAGTTCCCAGCATCCAACACTTGCTAAATGATGATTATGCCATACATCAGACCCTGTGCAGGATCACAGTGTTGGTCCGCAGGCACTGCGCTGGACTGACATTGCCCAGCTGGACCCATGTGACATAATTTTCTGGAGGGGGATATCCTGATGGAAATGAAAAATAAGAAAACAAATTCTGGCAACATAGAACAGAATGGAAAAAGCCCTACAAAGACAGGCTGAGGGAGGAAGCTGGGCTTGTTCAGCTTGGAGAAGAGAAGGCTGTGGGGTGACCTCATTGCAGCATTCCAGTACCTAAAGGGAACCTACAAACAGGGGGGGAGTCAAGTCTTTGGAAGGGGAGATAACAACAGGACAAGGGGAAACCGTTCTGAGTTGAGGAAAGGAAGATTCAGGTTGGATGTCAAGGAGTTCTTTGCTATGAGAGTGGTGAGGTGCTGGAACAGCTGCCCAGAGAGGCTGTGATGCCCCGTTCATCCCTGGAGGTGTTCAAGGCCAGGTTGGATGGGGCCCTGGGCAGCCTGGGCTGCTGTGAAATGTGGAGGTTGTTGGCCCTGCTGTGGCAGGGGGTTGCAGCTTAAGTATACTTTTATACTGAACATCAATTTTACATTAAGCTTACAAATCCAAAATAAATACTAAGAGTACATATTTACTACATACTTAGTATTAATATATACTTTCAATATTACGTGTTAAGTCCTTAGATTCTTTGAGCGTTGAACTCAAAGGATCTGATTTTTTTCTACATAATAATATAAATCTATAGAAACTCTACTGAGGAGCAACCATTCAACATAAAAGAGAATACTGTTATCTTCTATTTTCTTTGCATTAATCAGTACCATAGTTTAGATTCCCAACATTAAATATAGGTAAATAAACATTAGGACTTACTTATTTCTCTTAATTTTGATGCTAAGATCATCGTTTTCATCTCCTGAACAAGAGCTCACATTTTTATCTGCTAAAAAGAAACAAACAGAGCAGTTAGGTTTGAATTAGATAAATGGGCAGACAATTCCACAAAGAAACTTTCAATCCCTCTCTCTTTGCTCCAACTCAGCTACTTACTGCTCTCCTCTCTGCACAGAGTACTTGAAACTTATCAGCTAATTACAAGTTCCTCTTTTTGTCCAAGTCCAATCTTTATATCACTGAAGCTAATAGAAATAAGGACATTTCAAGCTTCAGTGTAAGAATCTTGTTCTTCACTCTCTTTCCCTGCTGGAGGGAAATTAGTGGTATATTAGCGTATTAGGGCTTTCAGCAAACGTTACTATTTATCTCAATTGCACACAGCACGCGTTACATCACTGCAGAAGGAAGAATGAGACAGATGCTGTAACGCTGCAGCCTACGAGGACTGGAGGCAGAACATCAGGAGCAGATACACAGCAAGCAACAAATGCTTTTGATATTTAATAGCTATGAGAATAACACAAAGTGAATGGTTTTCTAAAATGAGAGCTTGATCTCAGCACTCCTCACTAGATGGAAGCATTAAGAACACGTATATCAATTTAATCATATTTTAAATATATTCAAATTCCATGAAACTGTTACCTTTTCTCGCTGAATTCTTCAAGACATCCAATTCAAAGTAAAAAGGAACAAGAAAAGCAATCCACAGACTTGGATGGAGGAATGTAGTTCAATAGCAATACCATAAAGCTATAGAAGCTGAAGAGATCTCAGCTTTAATGAATTCAGAAGGCAATGACACAAAAGAAGAGAGCACTTGGTGTTGCTCCCAGAGATGATGGAAGATGCAGAAGGCGCTCGGTTCCGCACCAACCACAGCTCTTATCCTTCCAGGCCATGGTTTCCACAGCACAAGAGAAAAACCCTCCGATGATGAAAAATGATCCCATGAAGCCCACAAGACTACTGAGGCTGAACTCCATGTGTAGCCATCTTCAGAAAAGATCTACCATAGCCCTCTGAAAAGCAGGCTGTATCATTCCTTTTTGTGAAACAGCTCAGCTGCTCTTACATCTATAAAACCCAACTTTCAACGACCACCTAACTTTCAGATAAAAGGGACTTGGTACAATCTGCCCACATTCCTATCTGCCTATTCCTGACCTACCTCAAGTTCTCCCAGCAAACAGTGAGAGCCCACATACAGCGGGGACACCAAACCCTCCCTGCTCCTCTTGCACCACTGACTGCCTCCAATAAATGGAACAAGAACAGTGTCAGCAGCATCACTGAACACCTCAGTGCAATGGAAAGCAGTGAAAGATGACAAACGGTGTCTGTACCCTCACTCAGCAATGTGCTGCATCACAGCGCGCTGCTAAGGCCAGCTGCAACCTCAGAGAGGGAGAGAGGCAACCGAGCACAACCTCAAGTAATTAACTTAAAGCACTGAGGAAGAATATTACTTGACAGTAATCTCTCCATGAAATCACGAAGCGGAGCACCGCCACAGTCTGATGGTCTACCAGGCTTAGTGCCGATTAATTAAATCATTCGACTAATCCCAGCCATGTAATGAATTTTGGTTCACTTTCCAGAATGAAAAGAAAACATCACTATTTGGCAGGTGTGTCAAAGCGCTGCCAATCCATTGGCAACACACAGAAACCTGATCTGTGGTTCAGCAGAGCCCCAGCATGTATAGATGGCATGTAAGAGGGAGCTGAGCAATGCTGATAGCTATTAAGAAGAAGTTTTTCAGCCAGAGGGTGGTGAGGCACTGGCACAGGTTGCCCAAGGAGGCTGTGGATGCCCCATCCCTGCAGGCATTCAAGGCCAGGCTGGATGTGGCTCTGGGCAGCCTGGGCTGCTGGTTGGTGACCTGCACACAGCAGGGGGTTGGGACTGGATGAGCGTTGTGCTCCTTTGCAACCCAGGCCATTCTATGGTTCTGTATAAGGAGCAGCCTGCCTAGTTTTGTCTGAACGCTACAATGAATTGTTAAACAGCTTCTGTGGGAAAAGAGTAGACCAACTCATCCCTAATTGTGAATAGCTATCAGACTGAGTATGAATCAACATGCAAATTTCTGTAATTAAAATGCCAATTTTCTTTTCCCCATCTGAAATAAGCAAGACCTCCTGACCGGCACACCCAGGCAATCAATTTGCAAAAAATTGCCAAGAAAATGCCCTTTTTCAACTTCAGTCTTTTTTCTGCTTTCCTATCCACTCCCACCGCCTTGCCTTGCCCACACCCGCCTTCAGGATTGATGATGAATACCGCACTCGTGGGCCCATGTTCCAAACCTCACCCCTGGGTTTGGAGAACTGGATCTTCCTTTAAAGAACTGGCACCGACTGCTCCCTGCCACTCTCTCTTCTGGGCTTCCTCTGCGTTTGGTCATTTGCAATACATGGGTGGAAACGTTGGTAATTGTGATGGAGTGGATGGCTGGAGGGCTCAGACCGTACTGAGCCGCTGGGATGGGCTGGGGGATGCTGGGACCAAGGGTGGGTCTGCCTCACAGCTCTGCCAAAATCAGCACCGCGTGGAGGCAGCACCATGAGCAAGTGAGCAACGTTTCATTTATGCCTGAATTACAAACGCACTTGATCTTTCAGTGGAATGATGTGCAGATAACCTATAATGCCCCGTGAATAATTATGCCTGTTAACTTATTCGTGACTTTGATTTCAAAACTCTAATTAAAACACAGCAGCGGCAACTGAGCTAAATCCATTTGGCAGCCATTGTTGCAAACACACAGCTCATTTGTGCTATTTATTTAATCAGATTACTAGCTAAGAGAAATGGTAACAAATAATTTCTTCCACCTTGGCAGCTAATATGTACTAATTATAACCTGATTGCCTCAAATACTGAGCAACCACGAGTCCCAGTTATATTAAGGAAGATGAAGACTATTAGCAGCAATGAAAACCACGGTCATAAAGAAACTGGTGCATGAATCAAATCCTGGTGGAATATATAGATGATAAAGGATGGGAGGGAAGCAGCACCTATCAGCAGTGCCTTTAGATTCTTCTCAGTAATTCATTAGAGACTATGAACAATGACCTTTGCTTTTGTCTTTGGCTACTGCACTCTCTCATCAGCACTTAATCACTCCTTCAATATATCCAGTAATGAAAAGCATATGTTCTACTTTTCTCTTGAAGAATGAAATTCAGCAGATACGCATTGGAATTACTAGACGCGGAGCTGAAGTTATTGAAATCATACAGAAAAAAAAATGATGCAAATTTCAAGCCTCTGACAATTTAAATTAGTATTGAAAAAAACGTAATGATGTTATATTTTAAGGAGTACAGGAATAGAAAACCACTCTCTGTGGTATTTCTTCAGTAACCTTCTGCTAATAATGATGACATAAATAGTTGTTATCACTCACACACTCACAACTCGTGCCACAGTATTTAACTGGAAACCCTGCCTCTGGATCAATGCCTGTGCTATTGCTCCCAGCAGTGTGACTGCACAAGATGGGTCATTTCTTAAGGCACGTAGTGCTATTTGATTTTTAGTTACAGTAATTATGTTCTAAAGGAATGATAGAAGTCTCATTTCCCCCCCCTCTATTTCTAAACCTCACCACCAGTCAGCTGAAGGAGGTTCTCCAGTGAACCTGCTATAAAGCACGAGGTTTACAGGTCCACCAGCACTGACCAGGACTAGCAGTACTTCCAATGGTTGGATGTACTACCACAATAGCAGACCTTACTGGCACAGTCCAGATATGAAAGCCAACATGAAGCTTCAGGGAATAGAGGAAGCACTAAAACTGAATAGAACTGCCCCAGTAACAGTGCAAAGGGAGCCAACAACTGGAGAACTACGTGGTGGAAAAATGTGGGGCCACCAGAACATGGGCAAGTACAGGTACTGGGTATTGCTGGATTGCTCATCGGTGGGAACAACATCTGGACTGGGCAACAAGGCAACAGAGAGTGGAGTAAATAGATGGAAAAACAAAGGGGTATGGGGATGAAGGAACTTCCTCTGCAAATCGGCCATGTTGTGGAGGAACAACTCTTAGCTTGCCAACAGCCCAGGCTGTTCCTTTAGGCTGTAGTTTGAACCACTTAGCACGTTTTACTGCAGACCAGCATGGTGTGTGTTAGCACCACAAATTTCCCCTTCAACAGTACAGTACTTAAAAGGGGACTGGTAGATCTATGTTGAGACTGAAGCACCTATGTTTCCATCAAACCTTTTAGTAGCCATTAGAGATTTACTATTGAGAGTTTTTCCCCCTCTACAACTTGGTTGAATAATCATTAACTTTGGAGTATCTGCTCCTGTGCAATAGCTAAATAATGCACTGGTAATGCGTTCATAATATACATCTTGGAAATAACAGTAATAAAACATACTGTCTTCCAAGATGCATTTTATACATCACAGATTCCTCCAGTACAAGAAGCCACCTGGTTCTTTACTGCCAGCAATGAGCACTCTCCATCCCCTAGCTCATCCCTCCAGAGAAAATAAATACTGTCTAATGAACGTCAATTTTAACAGGGTACTTGACACCGGGTCTCAAAGAAAGCCACTGAATCGTGGTTATCACATTTCCACTGAACACTGAGACCCAACGCAGTGTTGGCACAGAGGCACAGTCGCGGCGCGTTAGTTACTTGCTGCAGCATCCAGCTTGCGCTTGTGCGGAGGGTCCTCGAGGATCCTGTTAATGTCGCCACGGTGCCTCAGGTCCACCGGCTTCTCCCACACCGACAGCTGCATTGTAGGGTTGAAGAAGAAGACCCGGTCATCTCCAGTCCAGACTACACACCTAGTCCAAGTGATAAACTATGCTTAGATCATGCCAAATACACTTGTGACCAAGCAATCAACTCCAAGCTTAATTCTTGTATCTCGCTGTTAACCGTGCTTGAGACAGAGTGGCACCTGCACAAGGTTCCTCTACACCATGCAGGTCACCTTGGGCAGAGCAATCCCTCCATGTAACATGAAAGGTCTAAAGGTCCCACAGAAGCACGAGGAGAGCTACTCTATCATGGTAGGGATGAGAGCAAGGGGAGGAGGAACACAGCGATGTCCACATTGAAAGAAACCATAGGAAAACACGTTTCATATTTTAAAGTGCCTCTTCATCACAGGCACCTTGGGGAGTGCACACGGCTGCAGCAGGAACACACACAGCAAAATTGGGGGCTCTGGATCCTGTCCAAAAACATGATCAAGTCACTACTGTGCAAGTCATTTTATCGACCTGTTCAGTTCAAATAGTTGTCTCTGCATGACAGCACTATTTGCACTGAGGTTCATTATGAAACAGCTACAGTAATAAGGAAAATAAGTCCCGTACCACCATGATGTACACTCACAAGAGCTCACTGAATATATAAGTAAGTAAACTAGCAGAATATTGACCCAGAGCCTGCACTTTCTGAATGGCAAAGAAAACTAATAAGCAGCATATGTTCACTGTGACTTGCTCAGACACGTGCACACACTGGTAGATGTGGCACTGAGGGACATGGGCAGTGGTGGGGGTGTGCTGGGGTTGGGCTTGGGGATCTCAAGGGCTTTTCCAACCTTACTGATTCTATGAGGGGAAAATGCTGCCTCTGATACACGAACATTTGGAAAGGCCGAATCTCGTTAGCAGGAGCTTTGATGTTCGATTGTTATAAAGAGAAGGGAGCAGAAGTGGTTTAAAAAAAAATCTGGTCTGGATAGAAGACTACAAATATGAAAAACAGTCCATCACTGCACAGCACTAAAAGTGGGTGACCCAACGTTTCCCATTTACCACAAGTAAGACGTGACCACTCACCTTGGCAATACACGAAACCAAACCCAAAGAACTCATGTAAGACAGCCCGCAGGGGATGGCAGCTGTGCACAACTCATGAGCAGCTCGGTGCCATGCGTGCCCCCAGCTCTGCATGCAGCACTGTGAAAAACCCACGCCACGCCTGAGCGCAGAACCAGCTGTACCAGCTCAGCTGAGGACTTCACTTGCATTTACAGCACACGTGAGCTTAGGCTTGAGTTCAGCAACACGGGTGACAAATATTTTATTAACTTTCAGTTTATTTTAATACACAAACATGCTGGATCAAAAAGCAGCCTCTCAAAGCTCTCATATTTATAGGGCAATAATGAGGTATTTATACACTACTTTGTGTCTCAGAGCTACAGAAACCTCTGCTCTACCAGAAACACTGACAGTCAGGTCAAGAATTGTAACTGTACCACTGGCCCCAAGTCTCTTCTGCATGAAATAGCAAGAGGGAGTTGTAAAGGAACATTTCCAAATCAAGGCTCTGCACTCCCATAAATACCACAGTCATCCCAGAGGGAAGGGAAAAAGCCCTTGGCATTTAGGTGCAGAGGACAGATTCAGTTGATTAATGTAAGCAGGCTGTTGTTGCCCTTTTATTAAATATCAGAAGTATGGTCAGGGCACAGGCCCAATCCCATACAGGAGCAAATGCCTGCTTTGAAATGCCCCTCACTGCAATTTGCATTACGAACAAGCAGACATATTGCAGAATTAGTACTGCAAGGAGAATCGGCCATACGTGAACCTTGGGAAGCTCAAATCCAGCACCCTGTTGGGGAGCAGCAGTGCTACTATACTATATGTATAATATAATATATATACTATATGTATCCCTATACATGGGATGGCCCAAGCTATTACCTGACTTGAGATTGGAAGCAGTGCTGTTGGAAATTTGTGTTTTGCCTCTGCTGATAGGCTGCTGTGCTCAGTGCTGCTCTGACCACTGGCACGGATACCAACAGTGCCCATTAACCGCAGTGTAGTTAAGTGCCACGTCTTTGTGCAGCCTCCCCCAGTGAGAAACTCCAGGCTCCCTTGTGGCCCCTTTTTTTGCCTCTTCTGTGACTAATATCACTTGACATCCAATTTAAAATTAATGTCCCTTTTTCCACGTAACATATCACCTATTCCTCCATGGTACGATGACAGTTTCAATTATCCATAGGGGACGCATGATATTTTGTTTCAGTCACAGACCATAAACTGGAAATGCAGAGATTGCTGTGCTCATTTTTCCCTTATAGAAACTGTGGTTTAAGCGTGAGAAAGGGAACAAGATGGTTATACAAACATTTATTTTCTTTCATAAGGTAGAAAGGCTTGGTAATGTTCTTGAACTGTTTCTGCCATTAAAAACATGATCTAACTGCTCCTGAATGGCTTTTTCTCCTATTTTGCTTTTCTGGGTAAGAATAGAAGGATCAAATGTTCAGTTCTGTGAATTCTTGAACCAAATGCTGAATGCCCTACAAGGCTCAGAGGGGCTGGCAGCACCTAACAGCTGAAAAACCTTTTGGTTTGTTTTAAGTGGCACAATCTTCCTCCCCACTCCGATCTCTTGCTCCTGTTTCAGCATGACAGCCCAGCATACACTTGGAGATGTCATAATAACCATGGGGCTCACAGAAGCATGGAGCCAACCTACGGGCAGGGAGTGGTTGAAGTAAATGCAGGATTTGTTGAAGCTGTGTTGCATATCTTCTTCTAAACTACAAAACAACCAATAGAAAAAGTAAGTTCTGATTTAACACCCAGCAGGTATGCTCCATGTTTCGTCGTGCCACTGATAGATGAAAGTCTCACCTCAGAATAGGGGATAACTTTTGGCGTGAGGACTATGCCATTTCCTTCTGGTCCCAAGGATGAGGTTTCAGTGCCTCATCTTTCACATGAATATTCACTGAGTCATTAAATAATCCTCTGGAAGCTCAGAAACTTAAGATTTCTCCTCAGAGATTTCAGCATCACAGGTTTGGTTCTGAGACTGGTGCCCATGAGCCACCCAGCAGCCACTGCTGAAGGAGAGGTGGAACTGCCACCCAGTCTCAAATGGTTCCCCTGCACTATTTCCTGTATTAGCAACTACCAGGAAGAGAAATTATCAACGTAAATCCCATTTTTGATGCCAAGATTAGAGACGACATCACACTGTATTCATAGCATCAAGCTGTAAAATGGCATGGAACAGTAACAAGAAATAATGGCTGGTATCTATACGGAGTGCTTTGGCCAAAGATCCCACAGACATCAGTCAATGAAAATAAACTGATTACTGCACAGCATATGGGTACAGTAGATGAAAAATCCTTCTTGTCAGCCATCCAGGACCAAAAATGAAAAGCGATTTCTAACTATTTAAAAGCCACGAGAGCTTCAGCTATCAACGTAAGTCAGTGAATTGGAATGTGATCAGGAAACCTATGGCATGAGACACAACCTTCTACAGATTTTCAGATACAAAGCAACACCAATCCTGCAAGACTAAGTGATTACTATTGCAACCAAATAAGCAAGGGTTGAAGAAGGTCTGGTCCTAAAAAGCAAGAGCATTTCTTACAGGTCTTGCACTTCTCCTTTGATATATCCAAGAGTCGTCCACGCTGGATCTTCAATACATGAGAGCTCCAGCAGGACCTGAGCCCTAAAGAGCCGGGCTGAGCACAGTGCCGTGCTGCAGAACACCAGCACTGAAGAACCCAGGCAATCAGAAAGAAAAAACATCAGGCACGTTCTTCCAGAAGCCGCTCCTGGCTGAACTGTGCTCCTGGCAGCACACACTGCTCTTACCTCGTGGATCCCAGGGAGGCAGTCACACAACGTGCTCTCATTTTTGCTAAGTACATGATAAATGAGGGAAAGCTACAGTGGAAGAGGAATGCAGCGCTGCTGCTTAACATCCAGGGTAGTGTATTTTCCCCACGTAGAGACCACTAATGCATGTTTGGCGAGAGAAAGAGCAATGATGAATGACTTTTATTAGCTCTAATTGTATTTGCTTACCATGGAGATCCTGGCACTGGAGTGGATGCCACAGGCTTGTTGCCATTTGAAGTACTGTCATCCTCATTTACTAGTTTAAAAGAATGATCCTTGAAAGAGAGACAGAGATTAGTCAACAAATAAAGCCGACGCATAAGACTGTTATTGTCTTACAAATCATTTCCTTATCTTGAAGTGGATTACCTACATGGCCATTATATCACTAGCAGCTTTATGAACAGCCAAGTGCTTTGGAAACAGTCGGGACAAACCAGATATAATCAACTTGTTGCCCCATTTTCAGGAGCACAAATGAAAAAACAGCTTTTGCCCATGCCAATGGCTCCCATGGGGCAGTGAGCATCACTCACTGCTTGTTTGCATGTACTTTTAAAAGAAAAGCAAAAGACAGAATGCTAACTAACCCCTGTGCAGAGGCGAGTCCCATTTGTGGATGCAACACCACTCCTGTCCTGTGACACGGGCACCAAGCAAGGTTCTGGAGTGGCACAGCTGACATGTACAGCCTGCAAATGTTTTAATGGCTCCAGCACAGCTATTTACTGGTGCAACTTATGAGAACAAACCGTGAGGAGGAGGCATGGGAGGTAGGCAGCCATCCAGCTCAGTACATTATCAAGAAGTGACAACGATGTACTTAATTAAAAAATAATAAAGAGCACGTCCAGAGGTCTTCCTTTGGAAAATACTTTGCTGCTCGAAGCGCTGAGGATGTGCCCCAGTGTCAACACAGCTGCAGACGTGGGGAACACCTGCAGAACCTATGGACAGCAACATGGCAGGAATGTGAAAAGCAAAGGAGGACTTAGTCAGTCCTCCATCCTCACCTCCTCCTTGGAACAGAGCTCCTGAGGCAGCTGGGTGCCCACTGCAGGCAGCCCTGTAGTGCTCTGGCTGACAGAGCTCCACAGCACAATTAAACCAAGCTCCTGGTCACAGAGCAGTCCCTTGTACCGGCTCTGATCTGTGTTGTTCCGTATCATGCAATGGTTTTTAAGGGAAGAATTAAGGGAAGAAGGGAACGCACAGCAGACCTTGTCGCCATCCCTCTCCACAGAGGCGCTCCTCCTGTCGGCATGAAGGATCAGGGCAGGGGGGTAGGAGGCTCTGCTGCGTGCTCTGCCTTTATCTGCAAGGGGAAGCATTGCCCATTAGTTACATGCAGGAAGGCTGGGGCTGCTCCCACCTGAAGGTCCAGGCTCCAGCTCCCAAACCCAGCACCTCACATCTGGTGAGGAGCATGGTGCTCACACCTTGTTTCAGTGGCACTTGTCCTTCAAAGAGATCTCTGCCCACACCGAGCATGGTTTTTTTCCCCAACACAAAACCTGCTTTTTTAAGGCCGTGTTTGACAGAACCATCAGCCGCCTTGCAGGCCCCAGCTGCATTCTTCAAAAGCTTTGGAAATGGATTTTCCCTTCTCTTTGCTAAGTTATCGCCTGGTTGCTGGACAGAGCAAGAAGAAGTGGTGGGGACAGCAGCATGTGAGGTTAAAAGTCCAAACCAGCCTCAACAATTTCTTTAAAAAAGATCATAACGAGGCACTCTCATAATACACTCTTTGCACGACTTGCACCTCCCATACACTAACTGCACTTGCACTATCAGTGCTGCCTGAGATAGGCTTTCGTGCAGACAAACCCCAAGAGAAGGTCAGGCTATGCTTGGGACTGGGAAAATGGAGCAATGTGGGAGGACAAGAGGAAGTCATGGAGAGGGGAATGGGGACAGAGTGTCATTCAGCTGCACCCCTGACACAGGACAGATGCAGGATGGGTGGATGCAGGATGGACATAGAATGGATGCAGGATGGATGGATGCACGATGGACATAGGGTGGATGCAGGATGGATGCAACACAGACACAAGGGACCAGTAGAACATCTTTCCCAAGGGCCAGCCCCACCACCTCCAGGAAGGCTAACACAGTGCAGGGACACATCCAGCAAAGCCTGCAAGCCGGAGGCGCCTCCGTGTGCTGGCTTCGATTCCGTAGCAATTGCCACAGAAGCTCTTAATTGCACATGAGCTCTTAATTGCTTTTTAATTGGAAGCAGTTGTAAGAACAAGTTCTTCCCCTTTACGAAGCAGTTGTCCGCATCTGAAATGCTAAATGCTAAAAGTGCTTCCACTATGAAATGACTGCGTCTGGAGAACAGAGGGGCCATAATGAACAGAAGGAAAGGCAAAAGGCAGCAGGTATCAGACAGCCCAAACGATCAGGAAAAAGTGGCTTTTACAGTAAGAAACCATTCAAAAGATAATCCCTCTTCTATTTGCTTATTTCCTTTCCTTGTCCTTCCGCTTCTCCACCTGGGCATCTTAGCCAAGTTTTCTCCAGTCACCCAACTAAAACTTGGGTTCAGAGAAACTATTTGCACGCGGTGTTTTTCCAGGACTGCACCTTACACAGTCAATTCCCACCTAAAATGCTACTCCATTAATTTGAATATTATTCAGACAACAGAACAGACGCAGCCTCAGCACCACAGAAAAGGCTGAACCTGTCAAGGGTCTGACTCTGATTCACCACGGAATATATCACAATAATAAAAATGTAAATCGATGTCATTTTTCTCAAGAGGCAAATTACTCAATTTTTATAGGTGGTGGAGAAGAGGATTTACAAATCACATCAACTCACTGACACATTAAAGGAGCGAGGAGAAGGGAGCAGCTAATAAGTATCAAGAGGATCTCTGAATGTATCCCTCTTCACCAGACATATGTTGCAGGGACTCTGCTCTATGGGCCAAGCTCAGCCTGTGCTGCAGCCAAGCAGCACCCAGTGTCAGCCCCCTGCAAGCTGTGTGTTCCTCCCAAGCTCCCCATGGTCACAGCATCCAGCCTGCACAGCCACAAAGCCAGGCACATCCCAGGAGCACTGCATCTTCAGCCAAGAGAACACCCAGGGTCCTGCTGGCAGACAACCAGGAGCAATGTGTTTGCCAACAGTGGCACAAGCCATGACAAAACTCCCATCAGAAAAGCTGTGTGAGGGAAGAAACGGTGCAGAAGGACACCTGAGAAGCAAGGATATTTCTCTCATTCCTCACTCTGTGAAGGAGAGGCACATCTACACACCTGGTTCAAATTCCACTCCGCTGATTCATTCCCATGCTCCAAAACACAGCAGAGGACAGATGTGCTGTTTCCTCACATCCACCAAAGTATTTCACTCCCTTACCCTGAGCTGTGTTTTCCCACTGCTGATGTGAGCTGTGCAGCCACTGGGGCAGCTCTGTTAGAGGCCATCTGCAGAAATAACCCCCAAGAAAGAGCTCTGGAGGGCTCAGCACCTCCTGGTGACACAGCAGCAAAGTGCTGCCCTGACAGTGCAAAGCCCCAGTGCTGTCATGCAAAGAAGAAGCAGCTAAACATGCAGCAACACACTCGGATGATGCTTAAGAGACTTTGGGCTTATCTTTTAGCAGGGAAATCACATTAACCCCATTTGCAGCTCTGCCTCTTCCTATCTCCTTCTCTAATCCTAGAAAGAAAGGCTGTTTCAATGCCTTTACGGTCTTCATTACCATTCTGATTAAGAGGAAGCCAAGAACTTTCATTCACCCACACACAGTGTATGCACACACGAGGAACAAGAGAACACATTTACCAAGCTGGCATCATTTGTTAACTTACATACAATAATAAAAACATATTAATGCCAACTGGTAGATTTAAGGAAACTACATGCAGGCTAGATGTGGCTCTGGACAGCCTGGTCTGCTGGTTGGCGACCCTGCACATAGCAGGGTGGTTGAAACCAGATGATCATTGTGGTCCTTTTCAACCCAAGCCATTCTATGATTCTATTGCACACATGAAATTGGCAGAACCTGAAACACTGACAAGTCAGTGCTGGCTTGGTGCAAAGGCAGGTAGCATAGGGGTAGCCCTACTGCCTCTGCTGCTGCTCTCACCCTGCTGGCTGCAGCTGCAGGTTGTTTGCTGCACGGAGCCCAAGGGCAGCTGAGCTGACTGAACTAAAGTTGTGCAGCTGCTCTCACTCCCTGGGCCTTACACGGCTTCCCTGCAGAGATGCTGTGTGCTGGCAGTGCCCGAGGCAACCTCTCATTTCTTCTCCTTTGAAAAGCTCTCACATCATCTGGGCAGTGACCTCACGGAGGGACGTGGGTGCAGCATCTCTGCTTGAAACAGCATGGTCAGCACAGCACACCACTGTTCTACAGCACTGTTCATTAAGCATTCACACACGACATAGACTTTCCCAACATTGTGAATTTACATGAAATAAAATGGAAATTTAGAAAAATCTAAAAAAAGAAAAATGGGGGAGAAGTGCTCTAAGTCACTGCACACATCGGGAGTCAATTCTTTTTATATCCACAGCAAATACTGAGATGGTTTTCCAAAATTACTGTATCAAGAGACTGAAGTTGTAAGGCTGTGTCTCCCCAGCCAGCTCTGAGCCCCCAGGCACACTCCAGGCTCTGGGAGCATTCCCTGGGATGGGGCTGGGCAGAAAGATGAGGGGCTGCTTCTCCAGACACACTGGAAAGGCAACCGCAGCATCACCCTCCATTGGCAGCTGGTGCACATCGTTGCTCAGGGTTACTCTTTTCCCATTAATCAACCTTTTTTGTTTCTCTTAAACTTACATGCATGAAATGCAGTGCAGGCAGGCAGTTAAGCTCTGTGACGTCCTTCCAACATAATCACACAGCGGTTTTGCCCCTAAACTTAGCAGTATAATTACCAGCGATGCGCTCGTGCCAGGCCTGCGTCAGGAAACCTGATGAAAGGGATTTCTCTGAGACTCCACGGCAGGCAGAGGACATGAATAATTCACAGAATGAAAAGTAGAGGTGAAGTAGGAAAATTATCCTACGTATATTGCCGCAGATGGAGGTGTATGATGATAAACATGCTATTAAATGCAGAATTAGAGCAGGCTGATTCGCTCCGTGAAAAGATATGGACAAAGACAGAATCAAGCTTTGCTCTGCTAAGGGTTTTAGAGGCCAGACCTCTGTTACTCTCAATGGCAGTTTAAATAGGTTTAAAACGTTGACTCTAAATATTGCAAAGAATTGGGTTTACTTCAAGTGCACACTTCTAGGCATTCGGTGTTTCATTACTGCGCTGAATACTTCCTTAAAGTGTCCATGCTGTAGGTTAGCCCCTAGGCTTCCCCGGGCTGTCCCTGCTGCAGACATGCACACTTCTGTGCCCCACTCCCACAGATGTGGGTCCTACCTTCAACCCATCACAACCATTCAATGCAATGGGCATCTCCTGGTCTGCTCCTGCACATCTTATTTCACCCTCTGAGAAGTGTCTGCGTCTGCTTTGACACGTTCCACTGTGATCTGTCAAACTCCACTGTGCTTCCCTCCCTCCTTAAATGTCCCTCCTTGAGCAGTTCGTTGCCTCTACAGCAATCTTCTCCCATTCACTCTGTTATTTTCCTGAAGATTTTGAACAGAAGCAGTAGGATGATGGCAGCACGTTCTTTGTCTGCTGTACCAAAGTGGGCTCCGTGCCTGGTTCAGAGGTCCCAGACAAGCATCTCTCCTGGCTCCTCAGATACACAGCCTACACGCTCCCAGAGGTGACATTTGCCACTATTTTAACAACAGATATTCTATTTTAAAGGAGACCTACTGCCATATCCAGCACTTCCCCAGCAAACAAGCAAAGCACACATCATGCCAGCCAACCCCCCCAGCATAGACTGTCTCCTGTCTCCTGTCCCACAGCGTCCATGCAGCAGCACCAGACACCACATGCATGGATACCCCTCAGCACTGGGAGCTGCGTGTGTGCGCTTCTGTGCAGCCTGCTTCTACCTGGGCTTGCTTGCTTGGGATGGAATTGTTCTCTTCAGAGTGCCTGGTACGATGCTCAGCTCTGGTTCTAAGAGAAAAATGATGCTGCTAGCAGCCTGATTTGGATAGCTGCAGCTGAGCAGAGCTGTACAGCCCAGGCCATCCCAGCCAATGGCCCAGGAAGCAAGCAGAACAAGGGCAGATGACTGAAACTGGTTAAAGGGACGCTTCATATCACAGGATGTGGAGCAGAAGGAGTTCTGAAGGGCTGGGAGTTCACCTCACACTCTTCTGGGAGCTCACTGGGCATCGGTTGAGGGTGGTGAGCAATTGCTTGTGCATCACTTGTTATATACATTCATATATATATATCATAGATTCATAGAATGGCTTGGGTTGGAAGGAACCTCAAGAATCATGAAGATCCAACCCCCCCACCACATGCAGGGCCACCAACCTCCACATTTCACAGCAGCCCAGGCTGCCCAGGGCCCCATCCAACCTGGCCTTGAACACCTCCAGGGATGGACGGGGCATCACAGCCTCTCTGGGCAGCTGTTCCAGCACCTCACCACTCTCTCTGTAAAGAACTTCCCCCTGACATCTAACCTCAATCTTCCCTCCTTCATCTTAAAGCCATTTCCCCTTGTCCTGCAGTTATCTACACTTTCAGTGAGTTGACTTCGCTTATCCTCCTCCTATATATAAACATAGTCATAACAATCATCCTTTTCTCTATCTTACTAAACAGTTTTATTTCAACCCATGAGCTCTACTTTGATTTTTTCAGTTCTTCTCCCCATCACATTGGATGGAGTGAATGACTGTGCAGTGCTGAGCCCCTCCGGGTTAAACCACAACAGGAAACAAATATGATTTGTACTTGGCATTAGATTTTTCCAGCTTCCATCACAAAATAAATGGTTACTGGAAGCCAGGACTGTTGTAGACTCTGTTTATTACCTCTGCACCAGACATCCCAAAAAAATTTAATTTTGTCTTGAGGAAGGAAGAATTTTTTGTGCTCTCATGAGCAGAATACAACTGCACTAAGTGTCCCTGAACACACAGCTTTTGTCTTTGGAAGCAAAGTCAGAAAAAGACTTATCTATACTGCAGAATGGAAGCACGGCTGGAATGTCCTGCAAAAGACATTTGTTGGCTTATTGTTCCTGCCATGGGCACTGCAAGCACAGCATGGTGGCTCACGATGCCACATACACAATGAAATGCTCAGCTCACGAGTTTACAGATTGACTGCATGGAGCTGATGCTCACCAGGCTGCCCAAACCCAGCTCTCATACCCCACCAGCTTCCTTTCCTGGGGTATCTGGTGGCTGACACCTGAAATCACCTGCATTACTGCCAATTCCTCTTAATTGTCATCCTTTCTTTGATTGTTTTTCCACTGGAAATAACGACAGCTGGTAGCATCCTGCAGAAGGGAGTGTCACCTCCTGAGAAATGTTACTGAAAAAACTCGAGTGAAATTGCTGTTCTCTCAGTGCAGTCAGCAGGAAATCAAAGATGAATATCAGAGGAAGATGAATGTGTTTTCAGTTTTCAAGGGAAAGCCAGAAACAAACATAAAATTTTCATCCTATTTACATTACTTGTACACAAGGAAAAATACAGTGATTGCTCTTCCAAACCATTGGATGGGCTGTGAGCAACCTGGTCTGTAGGAGGTGTCCCTGCCTGCAGGAGGGGTTTGGAACTTGATCATCTTAGAGGTCCATTCCAACCCAAAGCATTCTATGATTCTATGATTCACTCTATGAAAGCTCTCAGCAGTGTCACCCCTAGATTTTCTATTGACTCACTCACCAAAGTCATTAAATATGAAAGGCTTCATACAACGTAATCCTCATCCAGTGGACGGACAGATCAGAAGGGCTTGTGCAAGCCCACCAAAGGGGGGACAGCAGACACATTTGACATGAAATACATTACTAACCATGATTTCTGCTTCCCACAAGCAACAAAGGGCAGAACAGCGTGATTCTAGCACAGATCTGTTCTGGGCAGCCTGATCTGGTGGTTGGCAACCCTGCACATAGCAGGAGGTTGAAACTAGATGATCATTGTGGTCCTCTTCAACCCAGGCCTTTCTATGATTCTACGGTCTTTGTCTTTCCATCTGTGCATTTTTTATACAGTTCTAATATTTCATCTGTTGCTCATTCCCAACAAGAAAGCAAGTCAACAGCACCTCAGTGGCTCTGGGGAGAACAAACAGGTCTTTGTAAATACTGTGGTGAAAAAAGCAGGTGGTGTTTTGCAAAAGCAAACTGCGCCAAAGAGAAACTTTAAAACAAAGCATGTCAAAAGAAACACTTACGAACTTTCCTTCAGATTTATGTCTGTGTAATAATATTTTGGGAAAGTCTCAGAGCTGGAATGCTCAGCAAGGCAAATTCCACCGGCAGACCTGGCAGTGGGCAGCCCTGCCCTGGGGGCACGCTACATGCTTGCTTGGCACAGCTAACCCCAAAGTGGGTTTTTCTGAAACATCTACCTGAGCAGTGGGGAAGACCTGTATGGGCACAGAGGGCCAGAGAAGTGACAGCAGAACTGACAGCCCATAATTGCCTACGATGCCCAGCATGCGCCATGAGATGTGGCTCACAATGCACTCACCTTGCAAGCACACCTGCAGGGATCTTGCTGCCACCTCTCACCTCTGCCAACAGCTGCAGCTCCCCCGTGCAGGGGACAATCTGTCCAATCCAAATGCAGTCTCACCCCCACTCCCCAGCCCCCCACCAGAGCTTCTGTCTTCACCATAACAGCAGTACTGCAGAATTTCATCTCGCTAGGAAAGATGCTCCCAATTTTCTACCAAAATCTGAATTCTTTGATCCTGACTTGCAAGGAGTATACACAAATCCAAGCAAGGCCACAAGACTTCTCCCAGCTCTTAGGAACAGTGCTTGCTCCCTTTTGCAACACACACACTGACGTGAGAATGAACAACATGGTTTTATCACACAGCACAGCATGCAGCATCGTTGGAGACATCAGCCAAGGAGCTTCACGGAGCACCTATCCAAAAGAAACAGCTTTATCACCACAGACTTGTGAATGCCACTGGCATGGGAAACGGAAAGCCCAAGGACAGTGCAGAAATTGCCTTTTGTGTCACCAGATGCCAAACTGCTGTCAAGTGCCAGACTGAGCCAACAATGAAAGCTCTCACAGCTAGCTGCTGCAAATGCCAAAATCAGAGCCCATTTTGTAAGAGTTCCCTGTTACTGTGCAGAGTGGAAAGCAGGGTTTGATCACAACACAGACACACAGCGTATGTCTCAGTGATAGAATCAGTCTACAGAAGCACATACACACCTGTTAGTGTCTGCTCCATCAAGTTGGTTGCCATGATTGTCACAGCTGGTGCAGCCACAGCAGTCACCCTGGTGACTTGTGCTGGCATCAAAGGACCCAGGCGAGCATCCACTCTCGAGGCTGAACCTGCATTCAAACCACAGTGAAATCATGTTTTCTTTTGAGATGACACAAACACCATCAAACAGTGCACTTTTGTCAGCCTTATTTCTCAAAAGGGTTGTCCAACTCCTGTGAACTGTCTGCCCCACACCCTTGGCAAGGCTAGAGGGACCAGGTCTGTGTTTGTACAAGTGAGTGGTCCAGCCTGACTGCCACATCCATTGACTTTCAACAGATAAGCAGATATTGGGCATTAACACAAATGTGATCCTCAAAACAAGATGTACAAGGACATCTCAGTGCCTTCAGAAAAGACACACACAGCAGGATCAGTTTTCTTAATTAAGCCTAAATAGCACACATCCATTTCCCATTATTGCTCACCACAATCCACCTGTGTCCCATCCCATCCATGGGAAATATTTTGCCAATAATTTCAAATACCAGCTTGATCCCAGTGAATCACAGCCTTCTCAAAGATGATTCACAAAACAGAAAATCACTGAACTGCTCAAATGCCTTATTCATGATAAATTAGCAACCCAGATTGCTGTTAAATTGATGCTAATTAAACTGCACTACTTAAACCTTGAGAATTTGTGGCTAGTGCCAGATTTGAGGTCAAATCTGGAGTATTGATTTCCCATTAACAGTGCATTCAGGCAGCACGTATTTCTCCAGAATTAAAGGACAACTTCCCACCATCTCAACTCAGACACGAATTCAGGTGCCCCATTAGCAGTCTCCATCTCCTGCTCACAAGCACCATTTCAAGGCTGAGTTGGCAGAATCATAGAATTGCTCAGGTTGGAAAAGACCTTAAAGATCATCAAGTCCAACCAACAGACGAGACACATCCCTAGTTTAAGGCAGTCTGACAGTAACACCGTATTTCCCAGGTGTGATGCAGGCTGCAGAATGTACTGCCCTTCCATTTCACTGTATACTCTGATACCATCAAAGAGTTCTCATCCAAACTTCTCTGCATTCTGCAGGATTTGGGATCATTTCTGGAACTTCCATTCTTTTTCTTCTCGTACTCTGCCCATTTCTTCACTGATCTTTGTTTCCCAGGTCCCAGCTGTCAAAGCAGATTGATCCCAGTTTTTACTAACATGAAAAACACCGATTGCTTCCCTGAATATAACATTTGGTTCTATTATAGCAATGGATACTTTGATACACTTTTTATTCCTCAAAACTGTACTCTTGGTTATCACTTCAGTGAGAGCACAATAGGTAATTCCATGTGGCCTTCGGGCTTTGGGGATGCAGGATTCAGCTTCTGGGAGAGGGGAGTTTCCCCTTCAAAGTGAGCATTCTGCAGACAGTGTTTGTGCTGCACGTCTCCATCCACACACAGCCAGGAGGACGTGCACCCGGAGCAGCGCTGCAGCACATCCACCCCCGTGTTGTATTCTGTTGCCCTCCTCCTGAGGCATGAAAATCATACAGATGTAAGCAGACACTGAACGTTTGTATGGGCTTCTTACGGCCCTGCCAGAGCCAGGATGGCCAATGTGCCACCCGCACCCCGCAGGCAGCAGTTGCTGGGCTGACAGGAGCAGGCTGGCAGCTCCACCAGCTGTTGGCACGGCTGCAGCCAGAGGGACAGATGGCAAGGAGCCAGCGGGACTCCAGACAGAGGTCAGAATGTTGGACAAATAAAGCCCTTCCAGGAGAGAAGCAGGACGGCGTGACGCCCGCTGTGCTCCCTGTGGCACAATGGCCATGGGAGCACTTTGAAGTTCCCTTCATGTATGCAAACCTATGGCAGTCTGCAATTCCACAAATGAACCTGGAATAAGGTCACGATGTGCTGAGCTGTCTCCCTATGGATGGACATACAGCGCTGCATATTAGCTCAGCTTTTATCCATCAAACACACACTGCACGTTGAAGCATGGCTCTGCTCTGTACAGCTTTAACTGTCTCTTTGCAGTGATTTATGATCACCTGGAGGAAAAATAAAATTATCAGTGTGTCTTTCAATGTGATGGAAGCAATTAGCTCAGAGCTTCCACCCGTATTTGACTCAAGTATATACGTAGATACATATACACATACATATAGATATTTTTAATACATGCAGATCAGGCTCAATGGCTTACTTCAATTATAACTGATGCTTGCTAAATAAGCTCGAATGATTTAAGGCAATCATAAACTTTAAGAAATAAATATTTATGCTTCCTAGTACTTTGTGCTCACGAAAAAGCAGTCTTTGCAATAGATGGATTTGGAATACAAATAAACTCGGTGGATTTCACTGAATGTCATAATGCAATATAAGCTTTCAGTATGAACTCCACATAACCTGGGCTGGAATAATACCCAAATACCAGCCACAAAGAACCTGACACATTTCTAGATACCCTTAAAGCCAAGGAGCACCCACCCATAAGTTTTGTGTTTGGAAACACCTCTCCATTTTAAAAATTATTTCAGTGCAAATGCACTTTACTGTCATTTAAAAAGCTAAGCAGCCTGTATCTCAGTGTAACCGTGATGGCATTGCAAGGACAGAGGAGGACTAAGGCAGGTGAGAGCAGCCTGGGTACCCGAGCACCCAGAGAGAGTGGCCCCAGTGCAGCTACAGCTGCGGAGGGGTGGAGAAGGAAGAGAAAAAGTTGTGAATGAAGGAGGAAGATCTTAAAGAAACAATCACTGGAAGTTTCTCACTGGGAGATCCAAAACACGACAGCAGAGACAGAGCAAGCAGAACGAGGCATCACCCTGTGGTGGCTAAGGAGGAATAGTGGCTCATCCCCAAACAAAAACTGCTTTCCTCCCCTAATTTCTGCAGAATGCAGGCGGTGATGCTGATGGGATCCCTGCAGTGGACAGACAGGTGGTTAATCCTTCCACTACTTGCAGGCACAGCAGCTTTGGTGTCAGCTGCATCTCCTGCTCCTTGGTCAGCTCACAACGTGGGTAGCTGGCCTGGTTGGGGTTGCTTATAGCTGTGCTGGTCCTACTGGGAATGGTTATAGCTGTGCTGGCCCAACTTGGGACAGCCATAGTGGACAGCCCAGCTACCAAGCACACCTGACCTGTCATTGTCCATCACTGCTCTCACAGCCCAAGAACTGAATGGGAAATTCCCAGCTGTGCTTGTTCTGCAGCAGAGAATGCTGTCCCCATATATGCACCAGGGGACACATCAAGTTGGGCAGCACCAGGCAAACAGGAGAAGCAACTTTCAATTACACAAACGCCATTCCTCTAGCTTCACAGGTTCCTCTTCTGTTAAACTTCCTAAATGCAGTGATACTTTACAAAACCTGTGCTCCTTGAAGCACCCACAGGAATGGTGTTACCAGAATTCATGCGCTGTACCTCTGCTTCACAAATGGAGTCAGCCCCAAAGCACCACGGTGGTGGCACTGGAACCAGCATGCAGTCACCCGCACATCCCAGTGCATTTCCCAGCCTACGGGAGGGCAAACCAAGGTGACATTGACAGGAGTTCCTAAAACTCAGCTCCATTATTGAGGCATGCTTGTTTCAGGAGCAGGGTACCTCAGAGCTGGGAGCAGCAGGATCCTCCCAGCAGCTGTACCCTGTGTGTCACAGGGTGCTGCTTGGGGACACTGCATGCTCCCGGGCAGGGCTCCTCTGGGATGTCTTCTCACCAGAACACAAAGAAAGGATCATTCCTTGTGTTCTTCTTCATTTAGAAACATCTGCCTGTATTCACTGCATTCTGCTGCTAAGAGAAAACAAAGATAATAAGGGCATTTATTTTGACTAGGATGAAATGACAGCAGGCATGTCCTCAATAAATCATGCCAATAAGAGAGAGGCAAAGCAATTACTCAAAGCAGACTGGAGCTGCCTGAGACAGGAGGAGCCTCCTGAGCAGAACTAAGGGAGGAAAGCGACTGTTGCTGCCCAGGCCCAGCACCACAGCCGGAGCATCCCAAGGCATGCAGGCAGCATCCTGCTTCCAGAGCTCAGAGGATGGAGCTAACCTTCACACCACTCAACAGCAGCAAATAGAACTGACTGAGAAAGAAAGAACAGGGTCCCACTGCTCAGCCACTTTGCAGCCAGTCTGGTATCTCCAGAACACAAAAAACGCAACTGATTACAACCATCCATTGGCTCATTCCCTAAACAAAACCAGTAATCCATGGTGGAAGCCAGAGCACTGCCACTGCAGCTCTTCCTTGCTACAATCTGAGCTGCTAAGAGAGTCAGTGCCTGCCAGCCAACAGCCAGACACACACACCACTGCCCTGCCAAGAGCCTTCCTCATCCTCCTCAACCTCCTCCTCCTCAGGCATTGAGGGCTGCATCCCACAGCCACACTGTGCAGGATAAGCCCTGTGCCTCCTGCACTGCAGGACCAGGAACTCGTGAGAAGTGAAAATCTCCATGCCCTTGCTGCTAAAACCCATACTAAAAGGTTGGTGTTCTTACTGAAAAGTTTTCATTGTCAGTGGAGGCAATGGAATCACATAGACAGCCTCGGAAAAAGGACAAGATCCTGAACGTTTACTCCTACTTAAAAAAGAATCATAGAATCATTAAGGTTGGAAAAGCCCTCTGAGATCCCCAGCATCAGCCCACCCGCCGTGCCCCCTGCCCACATCCCCCAGTGCCACATCCCCACAGATGGCCCCTCCAGGGACAGGAACTCCCCCACCCCCTGGGCAGCCTGATCTCCTTCTGAGAAGGAATTTTTCTTTTATCCTCATAGTTCAGGAGCAGAAGACAACAACTGGATCACCTTTGGCTTTTTTGAGATGACAAAATATTTCAGTGAGACTGAGCCCAAGAATGTGATTTTCAAAAGTGTTCCCATCACTGAAGAGTAGAAAATCCATTAACAGCACAATTTTGTTGACTTTCAAGCCACTGATGCAACACTGAAAATCCCAGAGTTAATAACAAGCCCAGCAGGTACACCACAATATGTTTATTTCTAAGTCAAATATGAGCTGCAATGGTTCTTTTTTACATCCAAATTGAAACGTAATGAGAGAATGTATTAACAAAGAGCATTAAATATTCAGTGC